GGAGTTGGGCGAGGAGTTGCCGGCCGGGCCGGACCGGGACGAGCGCGGGCTGCGGGACTCCCAGCCTCGCGGACGGCCGCTGCCGCGGGGAAGGACGAGCCGAGAGGACCGAAGGCTTTGCCCTCACCTTCGGGACACCCCGCGCCCCTGGAAGGAGTGACAAGCCGTACTTTTCTCCCCCACCTCATGTTGCCACGCTAGGTCTCGCTTGGAAGATCTGTCAGCCGAGGGCCTCTCGGGGATTTGTCGCTTTGTATGTGGAGGCTTGGGCAGAGGTGCTGCCAGGCAAGGGGCTCTGGGTGGCCTCCTAGCTCTTTTGTCAGTGTTTGCATTGTTACTGTCATCCAGGGGCAGCTGGAGATGGCATCAGCACTTTTCCCGAGCAACCCTTTTCAGTATCCAGCGCTCAGCACCGAGTGCTGGACTACCTGTCCTGTTTGTTAGCTTAGGTTTAGAGAGAATTCTCCCTAAGTCTTGGCTGCAACCTCTTAACAACCACCATGTGCGGTTCTTTAGGTAAGAAAGGCTAGGGCCGTTTCCCATTAGTACAACTCTCGTGATAAGAATTGCTTTTTGAGGTTATTTTTAGGGGTCACATTTCTGGTATGGTAACAAAGAAAAGTTCCTCCATGATTCCTGCTGGTCTCTAGTCTAGCTAGGCTTATCTACAGCCGGCTCTGAACTTTATGTTTTCCTTTGCAAGTACTAGGGCTGGATAGCGACACGATTTTTTTTTTTCTTTTGAGAAAACAGACAATTTGGAAGGTAGTTATTTATCTTCTCTGAGACAGTTCGACCAGCTCTTGAAGTACATGCCCCTTCTAAGGCACAAAAGAATTACAGTTGAGTTTGGAACTGCTAACAGGTAGCTGCAATATTCGCATTAAATAAGTATGACCTTTTATGCCTACAGCGTGGTTCCCTTCGTGGTCCTGAAGTACTTCAGAGACTTGGAATCAGTTCTCACAACCTGAAAATGTCAGTTAAGCTGTTCTTGTGTCAGTGTATGGGGAAACAGAGACATTTAGTGCTGTCCCCAAGACTAGGCCGGTGGTGAAATAGGAATCAAGGAGGATCTCTGGCTCCTTCCTGAGTCTGCCCCTTTTAAATCCATACATTATTGGCTGAACCACACCCTTAATCCCGGCACTCGGGAGGCAGAGGTGGGCGAATCTCTGTGCATTTGAGGCCAGCCTGGTCTACAAAGCGAGTTCCAGGACAGCCAAGGATACAGAGAAACCCTGTCTTGAAAAACAAAAACCAAACAGACAAACAAAAAGCCAAAAACAAAACAAAACAAAAACCCCAAAACCAAATTAATATTATTCATTGTTAAACAGCAGGCTTATAAGTGTCATTGTCTCCTCCCCCACCCCCATGTTTTGGAGAATTAGTCACATTTTTTATATCATGGCAGTCTTTTGGCATTTATTCAGTGTGGTTTTCTATACTTTTGTTTATTTGTTTTTTTGAGACAGGGTTTCTCTGTGTAACATCCCTAGCTGTCCTGGAACTAGTTCTTGTAGACCAGGCTGGCCTTGAACAAACAGAGGTCTGTTTGCCTCTGCCTCCCAAGGGCTGGTTAAGATTAAAGGCCTCGGTTACCACTGCCCAGCAGCGGTACTTTTGTTTTTTGAGACAGGGTTTCTCTGTAGCTTTGGAGCCTGTCCTGGGACTCGCTCTGTAGACCAGGCTGGCCTGGAACTCACAGAGATCCACCTGCCTCTGCCTTCCAAGTTCCAGATCAAAGGCCTGCACCACCCACTTTGCATTTGTTACAAATGTTGTAAACTTTGTTATAATTTACTTTAGAATGTGGGCAAATATTCCAGAGAGAATTTTTTTAGATGTTAATCTTTTTTATTGGTAGTAAAATTGGACACAGTTGACACTTGATTTTAGAATTCCTTAATGTTCAAACACAAGATGTAGCTTTAATCTGGTTCAAAAAATCCTGACTGTAGATACTTCCTTAAAAGTGTTGATAGAGGTAATTATATTCTTCCCTAAAATGTGGGTAGACTTCATAATACCTTACTGGACTTCTTGGAGTGTGTGAAACTCTAATTTGTCTAATATTGAGGAAATCAAAGTAAAAACTTAAAGCAGTTTAGTTTTAGAAGCCGAATTTGTATCCTAAAAACAAATGAAGCAAAATTATAGGTATGCAATGTACAATTGGTCTGATAACTTGTACCTGTAGTGT